TTGTATGCCTGAACCCCCCGATCCTAAGGATGCCGCTCTTCAGAAGCCTCGCAAGTAAGAAATGATTAGCATTCATGGAACGTGCTCTCACTGTTTCGCATTTGCAGAACATGTCACCTGGCTCTTCTCTATTCTGGATCAATTGTGGGTTTGGTGGCCTATTCCATTTTGTATGCACTCACAGCTCAAAAAGTTCGTTGGCTTGGAGGAGTGACTTCGGCTGCAGTCATAATCCTCGGTTTGTACATTTTTTTATCCTGTTCTTATTTTTATTTTTATTTTCTTTTATATCACAGATGCGAATGTGGGAGCTTGCCTGTTCGGCTTCCAATTACTAAAAAGCCGGGTTGTGGCTCTTTTCGTGGCTGGCATTTATAGAGTATTTTTAATATGCTTTGGTGTTCACCTCTGGTACGTAAACGATTAGTATCCATCCAAGCCATATTTGACACAACGTCTGCAGGTATCTTGGTCACTGTGTGAGCTATGCGGTAGTGGCCTGTGTTCTTCTTGGAGCTGCTGTCTGCCGACATTTATCTGTTGTCAGTCCTTCGGCAGCAAGAAGGGCTGCGTTGCAGCCGACTGTTATACGCTTGAGAGAAGGCTTCAGGAAGAGGGGTGGAAGTTCCTCTAGTTTTTCAGAGGGTAGGGATTCCAGTGCAAAGCGCAGTAGCAGTGTGGAAGCAACGCAGATTGGATTAGCATTTGAGGCCATGAATAGGAGCTCGGTTAAATGTCATCAAGAAGGAAATGGAACCTGGTCTCATCAGTCAGGTGCAGCAGTTGTAAATGAAGATAGCACAGAAAGTTCAGGAACAGGGAAGGCTTTGGAAATATCCAGGTCGTTCGCAGGTTTAGCTAGCGCATTCCATGGTTCTGTTCATCATCCTACAGGTTTACACCCAGAGTTTGGCGACAAGAAGGTGGTCGTCACTGAATGCCATAAGACTTTTACGTCTGGACCAACTGGTGTAGAGGGGCCAAGCATAGAGTCCAGTGCCTCTGGGACACAGGTGTTGGAGCACCATGGTTTAGACCCAAGCCTCGCGCTAGCCTTTCAAGAAAAGCTGAACGATCCAAGATTGGCATCTATGCTAAAAGGACGAAATTTTGATCTGAAGCGAAAACCAGGTGAACAGGACCTGACTACTTTGCTGGAAGATAAAGGTCTTGATCCAAACTTTGCTGTCATGCTCAAAGAGAAGGGTTTAGATCCAACAATTTTAGCTTTGTTGCAACGCAGTAGCCTCGACGCTGATAGGGACCACAGGGACAATAGTGAAGTTGCGACTACTGCTCCCAGCCAGTCACAGAATGCTGTCTCTGAAGAGGCTTGGGCAGAGGAATTGCGTCGTCAGCGAGTGGAAAGATGGGTTCAACGAAGCTCGATGCTAGTACAGCTTTCAGCGGGCACTCCGGAACGTGCATGGTTACTCTTCAGCGTGTTTTTTGTTTTGGAAACTGTTATCATTGGAGTCTTCCGGCCCAACAGTGTAACAGTGATAAACGCAACGCATGAGCAGGTTGGTCGCTCGAAACCGTTCTATTGTTTCTAATGTACTCTTTTGACGACAGTTCGAGTTTGGATTTTCTGCTCTACTGCTTCCGCCTGTATTTTGCTCGCTGCTAGCATTTCTTCGATCCCTTCAAGCGGAGGAGATGATATTGACTGCAAGACCAAGAAAAGTAAGTCTTTTAAGCACGCTGTTCTTGTCTCACAAAATGTGATTTTTCCAGATTGGTGCTATTGCATGGGTTTTGTGTACATCTGCAGGCTTGCTCCTTGCATTTCTCAGGTAACCATTCCGCTTTTCCGCTTTTGCCTTCTTTTAATGTGTGCTTCTTGGCTTGACAGCAAATCGTCAATCTTACTTGGTTTAGCTCTGACGGTACCTTCAATGACCGCGACCCTGGCAATTGCCCTTCCAATATGGGTCCGTAATGGATTCAGGTTCTACATTCCTGTTGATGGAGGTGCTCATTGCAGCCTGAAGTCCAAAGAAGTAAACTCTTTTTCTTAATTTTGGTTTGCTAGTTTCTGAACTAATTTGATCTTCTCTGCAGGGAATTATGATGACAGTTGCCATCGCCATTTGCGTGACTAGTATTTTTGCTCTTGGGGTAATTATTTCGTTCAAGCCTCTGGATGACTTGGAGTACGCTAGTGCTGTATGTGACATCTCATCCTCTGGGTGCCCATATGCATCGTCGTTCTATATTGGCTGGGCTGTAGCTGCATCGTTTGCTTTAGTCCTTGCTGGTCTGCTCCCGGCCGTGTCTTGGTTCGCAACGTACAGGTTTTCTCTCTCCTCGGCAGTTTGTGTTGGCCTTTTTATTGGTAAGTTTGAAATTTTCATTTTTTTTCCTTACTAATAATCTATTTTCGGTCTCAGTGGTTTTACTTACATTTTGCGGAGGCTCATATTTGGTAGTACTTCAATCTCGAGAAGGCAACATCCCCTTGGAAATAGATTTCTTAGTAGCTCTATTACCTCTAATCTGTATACCCGCTATGTTTTCTCTCGGCTGTGGTCTTTACAAATGGTACGTACCTTGAATAGGAAGTACTATACTAAGTTTTGTTATGACAGGAAGGATGAAGGATGGCACCTCTCGAAGGGAGTCTATATCTTTGTCGGCATTGGCCTTATTTTGTTGCTTGGCGCGATCTCTGCTGTTATAGCCACTATCAATCCGTGGATGGTAAAGCTTTTTCCGTCAGTTAATTTCATATTATAACACACTTATTGCAGGTTGGTGTGGCCTTTCTTCTGTTTCTACTTCTTCTTATCCTGGCGATTGGTGTTATACATCATTGGGCCTCTCACAATTTCTACATGACACGTCTCGAGACGCTCTTGGTTTGTTTAGCAGCTTTTGTATTGGCCTTGGCAGCGTTTCTTGTGGGACTTCTAGCAGGTGCAGTGGCACTTAAGCATGTAGCTTTGACAATTTCTTCTTTAAGCAGATGAACCTTTCGTTGGAGCGTCCGTGGGTTACTTTTCGTTTTTGTTTCTGCTTGCTGGACGGGCTCTTACAGTAAGTTTTCTATTCATAAAACAGTGCCTGATGTTCTTCCTCAGGTCCTACTATCTCCACCAGTAGTGGTGTACTCACCTCGAGTGCTACCCGTTTATGTATATGATGCCCATGCTGATTCGGCAAAAAATGTCAGGTATCATATCTATGCTTCTAGTTTTTAGCCGCGTCAAAATTATATCCTGTTTTGCAGTGCTGCATTTTTGGTCCTGTACTGCGTCGCTTTGGCAGCTGCTGGCTGGGGCGTAGTTGCAAGCTTGGAAATCTATCCTCCCTTTGCTGGAGCTGCAGTGTCCGCTATTACGCTTGTAGTAGCGTTTGGTTTTGCCGTTTCAAGACCTTGCATCACCTTGAAGGTATATACTGTTTATTCTCGTTTTATCTAATGAAATTCTGCAGATGATGGATGACGCTGTTCAGTTTCTAGGCAAGGATACTATAGTACAAGCGATCGCACGATCTTCCACGAAGGTATGAAGTCTTGTTTCGGAACTTTTACTGATCTTTGGGCGCAGACAAGGAATGCACTGTCTGGAACTTATTCAGCTCCACAACGGTCTGCTAGTTCCGCTGCCCTTCTGGTTGGCGACCCCACTGTTCCGCGGGATAAAGCAGGGAATTTTGTGCTACCAAGGGCTGATGTTTTGAAGCTTCGAGAGCGTCTGCGCAATGAAGAGCGTGCCGCTGGTCTTTGGTGGCGCAAGAAAAAACGAAGCTCAAAATATCGTCACGAGCCATCCCCTGATGTTGGATTTCGAAGAAAAATGTGTGCACATGCCCGGATACTTACGCTTGAGGAGGCCATTGATACTGAATGGGTCTACATGTGGGACAAGTTTGGAGGATACTTGCTTCTAATACTCGGCCTTGCCGCGAAGGCTGAAAGAGTGCAGGTAATTGTGCTCCTTTCTCATGTAGCGATACTAACTACAATCTTTTTGAAGGATGAGGTCCGCCTTCGGCTTTTTCTTGACAGTATTGGCTTCTCTGATCTTAGCGCAAAGAAAATTCACAAGTGGACACCAGAGGATCGCAAGCAGTTCGAGTTGGTTCAAGAAAGGTAAAGTCTCAATTATCTTTCAAAAATTTTTATGTTTATAACTTTGTCTAATCAGCTACATGAGAGAAAGAGAAATGGAGGAGGAGCTTATTTTTCAGCGGCGTGAGGAGGAAGGCAAAGGAAAAGAGAGAAGAAAAGCTTTGTTGGAGAAAGAAGAGCGGAGACGGCGGGAAATGGAGGCCTCCGTAATATCGTCTGTACCGGATGTTGGAAGCAAAGAAGCAGCAGCCATGGCTGCCGCTGTTCGTGCTGTGGGTGGTGGGGACCTTTTGGACGAGTCCGGAACGCATGTTTCCAGTATTGCTCGTCGTATACTCTCGGCTCAAAGGGCCCGCCGCGCACAACAGGTTCGATCGCTAAATCTTACTGTTGATTTTATTCTGATGCTGCCTGTTTGGAAATATAGACCGGGGTGCCGGGGGCAATTTGCGTGATAGATGATGAACCGCGCACTACCGGACGACACTGTGGCACGATCGATGCTGCGGTGTGCGGATTCAAGTCCATCACATGTTCCGCTGCGATAATGGTTCAACCACAGTCGGGGCCTGTCTGCATTCTAGGCACAGAAAGCTGCCAGAAGATATGTTTGGAGATACTTATAGCTGGTGCCGAGCAGAACTTAGAGTCGGGACAAGTAGGAATCAGGCTCGTACTGAAAGGTCCTGGCCACACCATGACAGTCAGGGAGAGAAACATTGGCAACACTGACATTGCGGATGGGAGGTTCGTAGTTTCTTATACATATTAGAAGTGACTGACGGGCTTCTCTTGTAGGTGGCACACTGTTGCAGTCACGGTTGATGCTACCACTGGAGAAGTTGCAGCATACTTGGATGGTATGCTGGATGGCACACAAAGTGGTTTGCAAATACCAGTGGAAGGGGGCATCTGGCAACGAGAGACAGAGGTGTGGGTTGGCTCTCGGCCTCCCATGGACTTGGACGCTTTTGGAAGATCTGATAGTGAAGGCGTGGAGGCAAGCATGCACATAATGGATGTTTTTCTTTGGGGGAGGTGCCTGAAAGAGGAGGAGCTCCTCACCGTACATAATGCGAACGTAGCCGATTACAGTGTGGAGGACTTACCCGATGATGACTGGCAATCCGGGGACTCACCTATTCGAGTAAGTATCAGTTTTCTTTGAGCTGTGCGACAATCTTGTTATACTAATTTTCTCGTATGTTTCAGTTGGATGACTGGGGAAGTGAAGCTGCTGACTTAGATCTTTATGATAGAGAAGAAGGGTACTGGGAAGAACAGGCCGTAGGTCGGAAGAGAAAACCTGACAAGGACTCGGTAGTGATAGAAATGGATTATTTGACTAGGAAGCTGAGGAGGCCAAGAGCAGAAACGAATGAGGAAGTCAACCAGCGAATGCGGTCAGTTGAACTGGCTGTCAAAGAGGCCCTTGCGGCGAGAGGAGAGTTGCAGTTTACGGATCAGGAATTTCCTCCCACCAACCAATCATTGTTCATCAACCCCGAGCAACCTTTGCCGAAGTTACAGGTACAAATTTCATGGATTTTGCAGCTGTTGTTCACACTTGATTCTTTTCAGGTTGTTCAGCAGTGGGTTCGTCCAGCCGAACTAGTTCGGGACATCGGAACAAATGCAAGACCCCGTCTCTTTGAAGGCTTCACAAAGCCTGCTGACGTTTGTCAGGTAAAAGCTTTTCTTTTCTGGTGATTATATGCGTATGTTTACTTCGTACGCTGCAGGGCCGTCTTGGAGACTGCTGGTTTTTGAGTGCCGTCGCTGTTCTGACTGCGGCGTCGCGGATTTCGGAGGTTATTATCACTCCGGAGTACAATGAGGAGGGCATATACACTGTTCGGTTTTGCATTCAGGTAATGCATTTCGTATTTTTTAGCTTTTCAACTCAACAAGTGAATCATTACACTCCAGGGTGAATGGGTGCCAGTCGTTGTGGACGACTGGATTCCTTGTGAGTTCAAGGGCAAGCCAGCATTTGCAACCAGCAGGAAGCGACATGAGCTCTGGGTGTCTGTGCTGGAAAAGGCATACGCTAAGCTTCACGGCTCGTATGAGGCTCTGGAAGGAGGACACGTCCAGGATGCTCTTGTGGATTTAACCGGTGGAGCGGGCGAGGAAATCGATTTGACGAGTGCACAAGCGCAACTGGATTTAGCCAGTGGACGACTCTGGTCCCAGCTACTACGTTTCAAGCAGGAAGGCTTCTTGCTTGGAGCTGGCAGTCCTTCCGGTTCGGATGCTCACGTTTCGGCCAGTGGTATTGTTCAAGGCCATGCTTACTCTCTGCTACAGGTAATGCATGGTTCTCGCATGGAGATGGCGTTTTACTTACGTGCTATGATTTCCTTTCAGGTGCGGGAGGTGGATGGGCATAAGCTCGTTCAAATATGCAATCCGTGGGCGAATGAAGTCGAGTGGAATGGACCTTGGTCCGACTCTTCTTTGGAATGGACAGATCGAATGAAGCACAAGCTAAAATACTCACCACAGGTATATGACGTTTTCCTGAGTTTCTTAACCTCTCATTCGACAATTTATTCATGTGTAGGCGCAGGATGGAGTCTTTTGGATGTCATGGCAAGACTTCCAGTTGCATTTTCGGTCCGTATATGTCTGCCGCATTTATCCCCCGGAGATGAGATACTCGGTGCGAGGACAGTGGCGTGGAGGAACTGCTGGTGGCTGCCAAGACTTCGACTCTTGGCATTATAATCCACAGTTTAGGCTCAAAGCTGTGGGCTCAGACGCACGAAAGCCTGTTCACGTGTTTGTGACACTCACCCAGGTTCGTTTGGACTTTTCTCTACTCTTTTCGAAGCCTTTTCCACTGGTCTTTGCAGGGTGTCCACTTCTCATCTCGCAAACGAGCCGGGTTTGAATATCAATCCAGTGGAGACACCTCAATGTTCTATATTGGCATGAGGATCTTGAAAACTCGAGGAAAGCGTGCCAAGTACAACATCTTCATGCACGAGTCAGTTGGGGGCACAGATTACGTCAACTCGAGAGAAATTTCTTGCGAGATGGTGCTGGAACCTGATCCAAGGGGTTACACGATTGTTCCAACAACGTTCGCTCCACACCAGGAAGCACCGTTCGTACTGTCCGTCTTTACAAAAGCGTCCATCACATTGGAACCCCTGTGATCCACTCACTGCGTGAATCTGTGCTCCGTGGCGCCAGAGAGGTCGGTGCTGCTGCTTTGCACGAGACACCATCGAATGCGGAGAAAGAAGGTATGTCGCAGGATTTCAGCTTTCCTGGTTTCTTAAGTATATCTTCTTGCAGATACTGGGAGATGAGATGACACGAGCCTCTTGGTAAGAACATTTCAAGTCATAGCCAAAATCTTCATTGGTTGTCAGCTTTTCTTTTTCTTTTTTTGTTTTCAGAGTGGAAGCTTGTCTGGGTTTTGCTCCAGTTTTTGGCTTCCATGCAAGTGGAGAAGAGGAATCTGTACATAGATTCGGTTTTTGTATAATCTGAGACACTAGCTTTAACCAACCATGCTCTAGTTTGAAAGTGAAAAAGACCATGGGCATATTGTCTTTTTGATTCTGATTTAAAGTAACTCCACAACATCAAAACACTATTCTTGCCTCCAAACACCAGTGCTCAAAACCTCTTGATACCTTGGTTCCTGCCAAATTAATCAAAGATCTTTAAAGGTGATAGTAAAGCAACAAAAAAGTACTTTGGGAATTTATTTTGAGAGATCTGATTACACTGCTGCTCTCTGCATCCACAGCCACCACATTGAAGAAGCCCCTGGCTGTTTTTTGATCTTGTTCTTGCTTAGAAGAGCAAGAACTTGTGGTGTAGCTGCTGCTGTTGTCCTTATCCTCGTTGCGCAGCTCGATTTCGCCGCCGCCACTGCCAGTTCCACGCTTGCCACCTTGTACTGCGGCTGGTCAAGGACGTAGACGCAAATGGAGCCGTGTGCAGCAGGATACCTGATGTTAAAATTCCAAATCAGATCCATACCGAGAAATCAGTCACACAGTGAAACGTGGATCCGTGCAAACAAAAACGTGTAACTTGTGTCAGCTGTGCCTCTCAACTGGATGTGATGTCCTCCCACATTGTTCTTTGCTTGTGTTATTTCTCGCAAACTTGTTTTGGTCCACTTAAGTATCTGATAAACATCGATCATCAAAGTTGTGGAAAGCATATCCTCCTTGTATGCTTTAAAACCTGAGCATAAGGGAGTGTTCCAACTTGCTTTCAGTTCATCCAGCTTCTCTCGCCTTCATCTTGCTCCAGAGCTTCGAATCCTTTCATTCTTTCAGGGAAAGATGGCAGGGTCTAATGCTGAGCAGGCACTCCTGGATGGGTTCGAGAAGGGCATTTCGCTGGGCCCGAAGATGGTCCCAGTCGTTGGCTCCTTCGCGCAGGCCATGTTCGGGCAGTTGTGGAGCATAGCGCTTGCACCCCGCACCGCGCAGCAGAAGCAAGCCGCCATGGATTCGCTGTTCGAGGCGGTGGGTAAGAAGATCGAGCAAGCTCTGGCTAAAAACATTGCGGATCAAGCAAGAGCTGCGAACGCCACCATCTCCCAGCTGGGCCAGGACTACTACGCCTCCGTCGCGGCCTTCCAGGCCAATAACTCTGTCGGCACGCGCAACATCGTGGTGCGATTCGAGCAGTGCAGGGCCCAACTCCTCCAAATGCTCAATCTCTTCTCGCATCCCAGCAACATGAAGCACACACTCCTCTCTTACGGATCCGCGCTCGCATTGTACACAACGCTGCTCCGCGAGATGATCCAAAGCGCCAAGGATTGCGGCTACACCACCCTGGAAGTGGCCGATTTCCAGAGAGACATCAATGATCGCATCAGATCCTCGCTCAACCAAGTCATGTTCGACGCTCTCTCCAAGCTGGTGAGGGAAGGGGGCGAATGGAAGTACCCCAGGATGGCCAACGTCGCCATGAGCCTCTTCAAGATCTCTGCAGGCGTGATGAACTTCCACACGGAATGGCACAACGGTGCAGCTTGCCTGATCGCGGCCACCCACAGGGAGTATCCGAATTGCGACTTTGTGGATACCAAGGCGCACTATCAGCTGAACTTCCGGCGCAGGGCCGGTGACGGGAGGAACTACTATGCGATGCCGCAGGTGTTCGTCAGTGGTCGTCCGGCACTCCACATCTACACCAAGGCTGAGCATGAGATTCGTGTAGCGCGCTTCGCGTTCGAGGAGGACAGCGTGGAGATGAAATTCCGGGCGTACTACATGGTTGATCACGACGACCTCGACTCTTGGCAGGTGTTGGTGACCCTAAGCAGCCTTTCCAATCCTCGGGTACGTAAACTTTGATTCATCAACTAAAGTTGGTAGCCTTGAGGTTTGCAGGAGCTTCAGTTCAACCTCAGCAGGCGGGAATCCCCCATTGTGTCCTTCCCGTGGGTGAAGATGTACTACTCCAACACAGAGGGAAGTGCTTGGAGCACCAATTTTGACAAGTTCAGCGCCAACATGAGGGTTTATTATGATGAGTACAGCTCGTTCAAGCCAGTCAAAGGCATGGCTTACAACATCACCACTAAGGCTGCTGGGCCTGCAATCAAGAATTACTATCTGATCGCATTTGAAGTTGTTCCAGCCAAGGCTCCAAAGCTGCCATGGCTGTGATCATACATTGAGGGAAGTTAGGTAACCTATAGAAGCAAAGTTTTATGCTTTTCAGTTATACAGTGAAACAATTGTTTCATCCGGTGACTATAAAAAATTTATTAAAAAATGCTTCAAGAATATTCTCAATTTTGTGTAAGCCCTAAAACTTTGGTCTGCGTCATACCTTTTGCATAAACAAGGCCCCAAAATTTCGCTATGTTTAGCCAAGGCGGCGCCGCTCCTGGGCGGTGACGGCGCCGCCGAGATTAGGGCTTGAACTGATTGATCGATCGATCGGTCCATCGCCAGCGGCGATGGGGGCGGCTAGGCGGATGCTGAAGCACAGTGCGGCGTGGGGAGCTCTGATCGGGGGCATTGCAATCGTGTCATCGCAGCCAGTGCTGGCCAAGGAGCGGGGGAATGGCGCAGTGGATTCGCTCAGGGACAGGATGGCAGCTGTGAATTGGACAGTGCCACCGCGATTGGTCCAGGAGGCGCTCCTGCGCGGCACCAGCCCGGCAAGCCCTCTTGATCTCCTGGTAGTCGGGGGTGGCGCCACCGGCTGTGGAGTCGCATTGGACGCCGCTGCTCGTGGCCTCCGAGTTGGGCTGGTCGAGAGGGACGATTTCGCGTCTGGGACTTCTTCCAGGTCTACCAAGCTCATCCATGGAGGTGCGTTATAGTTTCCTTTCTTCAAAGTAAGAACTTTCCTGGATCGATCAGACTTTTTTTCTCTGGATTGCTAGTTTTCTTTCTGGATCGAACAAAGTTCTAATTTTCCTGAGCTGTGCTTGGATCGATCATCTTAAAGTTCTTACGTTCCTCTACTTGTTCCAACTTCCAGGTGTGAGATATCTCGAGAAGGCAGTGTTTCAGCTGGACTACAAGCAGCTCAACCTCGTCTTCCACGCACTGGACGAGCGAGCGCAGCTCATCCAGAATGCTCCACACCTCTGCCACTCGCTCCCCACCATGACTCCCTGCTACCAGTGGTGGGAGATCCCATACTACTGGGCCGGACTAAAGCTCTACGACATCGTCGCTGGCCGCCAGATGCTCCACCTCTCCAGGTACCACTCCGCCAAAGAGTCCTTCGAGTTCTTCCCGACGCTTGCAAAGACAGCCGGCGATGGAAAGACGCTCAAAGGCACGGTGGTCTACTACGATGGCCAAATGGACGATGCTCGCGTCAACGTTTCTCTGGCTTGCACGGCGGCGCTGGCGGGAGCAGCGGTGCTCAACCACGCCGAGGCAACCGCGATCATCAAGGATGAATCCACTGGCCAAGTCGTGGGTGCTCGAGTCCGGGACAATCTTAGCGGCAGGGACTTTGACGTCCATGCAAAGGTCGTGGTGAATGCCGGGGGACCTTTTGTGGACGAGCTGAGAAGATTTGCGGACAAGGAGTCCAAGCCGATGATCGCTCCCAGCAGTGGTGTTCACGTCGTTCTTCCCGACTACTACTCGCCCGAGTCTATGGGGCTCATTGTTCCCAAGACGAAAGATGGCCGGGTGGTGTTTATGCTGCCATGGCTGGGAAGAACGGTGGCTGGCACCACTGATTCTATTTCCCCTATCACCATGCTTCCGGAGCCGAAGGAAGAGGAAATCCAGTTCATCTTAGACGCCATCAGTGACTACGTCTGTGTCAAGGTAAAGGAACAACAATGGTTTCATTTTTCCTGTTCTAACTTTTTCTTTCCTCTCAGGTCCGTCGCTCTGATGTTATGTCCGCGTGGAGCGGCATTAGGCCTCTAGCCAGTGATCCGTCCGCGAATGGAGACACGTCAAGCATCTCCAGAGATCACGTAATCTGCGTGGAGCCTCACGGCATGGTGACAATCACCGGTGGAAAGTGGACGACTTACAGAAGGTAAGTTTTACTTTTGGGTCATAGAAAGACTATTAAAGCTTTCTTTCTCTCAGCATGGCTCAAGATGCCGTGGACGCCGCAATCAAAAGTGGGAACCTCCCCCCAACAAATGCCTGTGTGACGAGAGACTTGCCTTTAATCGGTGGCGAAGGCTATGATCCATCGTGCTTCGCAATTATTGCACAGCAGTACGTTCGCATGAAGCGCACTTATGGCGGAAAAATAATCCCGGGAGCCATGGACACTGCGGCGGCGAAGCATCTGGCTTCGGCCTATGGAGGAATGGCTCATCGTGTTGCGCTCATTGCCCAGGTACGTTATAGTTTTTCTAGCTTTGGAGTTTCTTCTTCGCTTATGAGCGAATTCTCCTCTCCTTTTTTTTTTTTTTTTGTAGAACGAAGGTCTTGGAAAACGGCTGGCGCACGGCTATCCTTATCTAGAGGCCGAGGTCGCGTATTGCGCGAGAAACGAGTATTGCGAGTCTGCAGTGGACTTCATCGCGAGGAGATCGAGGCTGGCTTTTCTGGACACGGATGCAGCGAACCAGGCACTCCCTCGCGTGATCGAGATACTGGCGGAGGAGCACAAGTGGGACAAGCACAGGAAGAAGCTGGAGATTAGCAAAGCCAAGGCGTTCCTTGAGACTTTCAAGTCGTCCAAGAACGCGCAGTTTTTTGATGGAAAACACAAGATGGTGAGGTAAGGAAATATATTTATTTTGATGATATCTCTTGGTGGGCATATGTATAAACGTCAGAATTCATCTATAATCTCACCACTTGGAAATATCTTGTTCTAAAGTTTAGAGTGAGCTCCACAACAAAGGAGATGGACGCTATGGGCGAACCTATCCGCGAGAACTGTATCGATCTGGCTTTTCTGCTTATACAGTATAAACTCGTATTTGTGTTCCATGACCTCGTATAGACTACGGGAATGTTGGCGATCCAATAATGTACGTGAATTGATCCGCTTGATATGGGAATGTTGGCGATCCAATAATAGTCGTACCTGAATTGATCCGCAACTGTAAACATCGACCTTGAAGCTTGTGCTGCCCAAAGTTGGGAAACAACAAAACGGGTGGGATAAGTATGTGATAAGGTGGCCATGTGATAAAGAATCTTCAACGATGCCTAAAGGGATCTTCAATTGAGCATCTGCAACTGGAATCCAAGTGGGTCATAGAGTTGTATGGAGGTTGATGGCTTAGGTAGTATATAAGATTGTGTGGGTTTTTCGCATTTAACAGTGTTTAATAGTGATATTTAGAAGTGTGTCTCATAACTTGTGTCCCAGATTTATAGTGTAGAAAGAAATTGTCTTGAGGCTTGCAACATCCTATGCAAGCGTCTTGAACTGTCGTGTGTGAAAGCTGCTGGCATTATTTTCTTGGCTCCCCTTCTATGGCATCTGGAGCTACAGTGAGTTCTAGCACCTTAACACCTTCACAATGGGGTTTCTTATGGTTTTTGATGGGGAAATCCAGTGGCCCCAAGAGTTTTATGAATGTCCAAGTGAGAGTTTGACACCAGCATCACTACTTTTCCTGGTTAACTATTTCCCCAAGGCTTTTGCAAGTTGTGCCCATGCCTTTGGTGGCTCCTTTGGGGCTGCATGCAGGCAGGATCAATTTTAGGCGCCTGATGGAGCTTTTGCATTTTCCAGGTTAAGTTGGTAGGTTGGTGACACATGGGTTAATCACAACAAGTTCAATCGTACTGGTATCAGAAAAATTTGTGTTGTCAATCCAGTCATAAGTGAGGCGAGAGAGTTTGATGCCAGTAGCTTTTCCCAGCCAAGTCATGATTGTGGATTGCATGTAGGCAAGATCAATGCTCAAAGCCTGTGGTTGACACTTCCATAGTTTCTGGGTTGAGTTGTTTCACCCAGTTTGACAGTTAGAGTTGTTTGACCCAATTTGATTGTTTGCCCTTCCAGTCATAAATGAAATACTTTTCTTCTATGTGATTAATTCTGACATCCAGAAACTATTAAAAAGTTTTTAAAAACTTTAAAAATTGATTTTTGAACTTCTTTTTGAGATATGCAACACTTAGAAACCATAAAGAAAAAATCAAAATTTATAATCATGTTTTCTGGCCCACCCTTTATTGACCCCAAGGCTTTAGTGTGTCATACTCAGCCCCAAAGTAGCTGAAGCACATAGGACTGCCACAATCTAAGTCGAGCCAACCGGAGTAGATTCCCAGAGTAGATTTATAGAGAGGCCACGTTGGATGAGTTCAATGCCACATGACAATTTGGCATCATTCCATTGACATCAACACAATCCTACAGGACAAGGGTAGCAACAAGAAGTGACAGAGGCTAAGGTTGAAGACCATTTCGAATGTCTAAGGACGTTTTTAACTTTGGAGGTGGCAGCTGGCATTTGCTGCAGAAATATGGATCTGGAGGTGGGAGAGAGGAGCCTCCTATGTTAACGCTATCGAACAATCAAGGAATGCTGGGAGCAAAGATTGTAGAAGAGGCTGCAAGGGATTGATTGTCAGCAGCCAGGAGGGGTGCAAGATGTTTTGGTCCTAAGGGGCATTTGTGAAACACTGTTGAGGACTCTGCAGGGGATGAAGGAAGTCCTGAGGCATTTGTACAAGGTGGAGACTGCAGCTCCCTTGTCATAAATGTGGAGACTGCAGCTCCCTTGTCATAAATGTGGAGTCAAATTGGGACTTGAATTAAGTTGGGGAGATGGCATTTTCCCACAAAATAGAGCCACTCTTGCAAGATTTACTATTAAATGAACAAACAGTGGCAGTAGAAATCTATATGGTAACAAAGTTTTCCAGCAATAGTAGCTTGGCTAAGGACCAATGTGAGTCTTAGATATGTGATTGTGGTTAGCAGTGGTAGGAAAGAAGTATAAGTGCCTAATATATAGATAAGTTTAGCATTTGCCAAGTGTGGGTTAGATAAAAGAAAGAAGGTCATAGAAACTTGTGGCTAGCTGAGACAAGGATGGGTGGTGTTGAGTTGTGGGCTGGAGTATTCAAAGGATGAACATGGAAATATGGATAGGAAGGTGATAAAAATGCTAAGGGGAACTCTCACACTATGGTGATTTAGCTTGCATGGGATCAAGTTTTAAGTTGCTCTGCTTCACACTCTCAAACACAAAGAAAGATCCCAACTCAAGACACAAGTTCTATCACACTTCTAATGATCACTATTAAACACCAGTAAACACATATCAACACAAAGGTGGAGTTCAGTTTTGCCCCCCAAACACTATTTATATACTACCTATGCTATCATCCACTAAGTTTCCCAGCCAACCCACAAGCTTTCACTACCTTCCTATCCCTATCCATTCTTCCAGTTGATGTGCTCACGTTTCTTGCCAAGTGCAACCAAGTCGCCCTTCTTACATAGTTTCCTCACGGAGCAAGAAAGGTTCCCGTGGATGACAATCCAGGTTGAGAAAATGAGTATCGTTGACATTGGATCATGCTTGACCACTTGAAGCTGTGGAGTTATTGATAATGGGCACAGCTTGCCAATCATGTCTTCAGGGCTGGTATCGTACCTGAAGATCAAACATTAGAAATTTATCACTATTGACACCTTACACAAACAGTGTGGTGGCTGGATGCATGTTGATAGATGACTTCCATGATCTGGGGATATGCAAGGTGTGGAGATGGCAATCTGGGAGTGAAGATTTGGTTCGTTGCCCGATCCAATAAATTCTAACCGTTGATTTCCACCCATATAAATAATCAGTTCGTTCGGGTCTACTCGGTTGTCTAAAGGGAACAAAATGTGCACCTCATGCCTTCTCATATATAAATGAGTAAGTTACCATGATCATCCTGGAGATTCAAGTTGCGCTTTCTCAGCAAAAATGGATCGACGATACTGGATCAGTGTGATCGAATCCTGTAGAAGCCGCAGTACTGCAAGGGACATTGACGATCGAGTCTGCCGTCTCTTCGGCTGTGATGATGTCTTCATGTTCAACAAGCTCATCGAGATGCACGGTAATTGCAACAACATCGATCGAGCTCGACAGATTTTCGACAAGCTCAGCTCCAAAAGAGACGCATTGTCGTGGGAGAGAATGCTCGCCGTATACTGCCGCGGCGAGAAAATGCATCACGCCACCCAGATCTTTAACGAGATGCCACAACGGAGCCTTCTCTCCGCGACTGCCCTTTTAACTGCATATGCCCATACAGGGCATATTGACCACGCAAAACTAACGTTTGATTCCATTCCCGAGCTTGATCTTGTGTGTTGGAACGCAATGCTGGCAGCTTTCGTCCAGCACAAGAACTTAGAAGGGGCAAAAAGTATTTTCTGGAGTATGCCCTGTCCTGGCATAGTGTCGTGGACCGCTCTACTAACAGCATGTGCCCAAGAAGGGCATTTGTATGAAACAAAAGCACTTTTTGACCGGATGCCGTTGGTTAACGTGGTGTCATGGACGGTCATGATCTCTGCTCACGCCCAAAATGGCTACCTCATTGCCTCTAAGACCCTGTTTGACGAGATGCCCGAGAGGGATGTGATTTGCTGCAATGCAATGTTGGCAGCTTTTGCTCAGAACGGGCATTTAGACAAAGCTCTAGAGCTTTTTGATGACATGGAGGAGCGAAACTTGTCCACGTGGAATGCCATGCTGACGGCATTTGCCCAAAATGGCCACCTGTCAGATGCCCAGCGCGTTTTCCACAAGATCCCACAGCGCGATCTCGTGACGTGGAATGCCATGCTTGTGGCATTTGGAGAAAGCGGTGACGTGGACAGGGCAAGGGGGGTGTTTGTCGATATGCCCCAGCTGAATCTGGTGACGTGGAATGCCATGCTGTCGGCATATGCCCAGAACGACTACCTTGCTGAGGCCAGAAACACGTTTCATGCCATGCCATGTCATAGCCTCGTGTCCTGGAATGTTCTTTTGTGTGCGTGTGCCAAGGAAGGACGGATCAAGGAATCTAGGTCTGTGTTTCTCTCCATGCCAGAGAGAGACGTGGTAGCATGGACATCCATGATAGACACAAATGCTCAGTTTGGGCATTTGGAAGAGGCAAAGCACCTCTTTGACCTCATGCCACATCGGAGTCTAGTGACGTGGAACTCGATGCTGGCAGCCTTTATCCAAGGTGGACACGTAGAAGATGCAAAGAAGTTTTTTGATACCATGCCACAACAAAACGTAATCTCTTGGACAGCCATGCTAGTGGCATATGCCCAAGGGCGGTATTTGGGAGAGTCCAAGGTTATGTTTGATGAAATGCCACAGCGGAATCTAGTATCCTGGAATGCCATGTTCTTTGCATATGCACAGAACGGGCATATGCTCCAAGCAAGGATATTCTTTGAAAGGATGCCTAGGAAAGATTCCGTGTCATGGAACTCCTTGCTCGCGGTTTACACCCACAACGGCCTCTTCCGCGACGCGTTTGATGCGTTTGATGCCATGAAGATGCTGGACAGCGTCGATTCTAGAGACCAGGGTATATTCGTGTCGGTGCTGGTCGCGTGTAGCCAGGCAGGGAACGCATCGCACGGCCGCGGTTGCTTCCAGTCCATGGCGATGGATTTTGGAGTGGAGGCGACACACCAGCACTACTGCTGCGTGGTGGATTTGCTTGGTCGGAGTGGCTACTTGGAAGAAGCCCAAGATCTATTACAAACCATGCCCTTTGTTCCCGATGCTTTGGAGTGGACGAGTTTCCTTGGAGCTTGCAAGAGCCACAGTAGCTTCGCCCGTGGAAGCTATGCCGCGAGGAAGCTGGTGGAGTTAAGTGCCAAGGAAGGAGGAGCCTTTGTTCTCGTGGCACACATGTACTCGCTCGCTACTAACAAGAGCTCGGAAGAAAAAGAGCCGCGGGCATGCGAATCGAGAATGCGGGCGATTCAATCGATCGCCCTTCAACAAAATATGTGTTTGCAATGAACGTGGTGGTGAAAAAAGTAAGCACAGTGTGGAGGAAGCGTTTGCAAGTTTCCATGCCACAGCAAAATGGACTGGCATATGCCATCACGTCTAGATGATAACGAGAAGCTTCAGGGCATATTCAGGGCATATTGCCCAGGAGAGATTCCGCGTTTTACCCACAACGTCATCTTCGAGGAAAAAAGCGTGCAGAAACTCGCGAGACCTCCAAACAGGTAAGCGAGTCCATAGCTATGTTGCTGAGCGAACGAATTACTGTTCTTCAAACAGCGTGGTGGCGACTCCCTGCTGGATATGTACGAGCATGGAGGACGCTCTCTTAGATGAAGCGTTCCGTGGACTTCCATGATCTCGGAATATGCAAGGCGTGGAGATGGCGATCAGCCTTCGCAAGATCGTGTCACAGCATTTAGGGCATGCTGTAGCTGGGCAGAGAAGGAAGAAGCTCCAGCGATCCACGGAAATCCTGCTCCAGGGACTCGAGAATGAAGAGCTCTTCCCTGTTCCAACGATTCATGATCTTCACTGCTTTATATGCTGTGGTGTTTATGGAAGAACGGTGGCCGGCACCACTGATTCTACTTTCCCGATCACCATGCTTCCGCAGTCGAAGGAAGAGGAGATACGATTCGTCTTGGACGTTGATATTTCGTGATGTGGAAAACTTTAAAATTTACAAAATTACATAGAAAGTTAAGTGACCTTTCCAAAGGCTCTAAATTCCCTTCAGTTTTCCATGATCATCCTGGAGATTCAAGTTGACCGAATTCTGTAGAAGCCGCAGCAGCAAGGGACATTGATGATCGAGTTTGCCGTCTCTTCCGCTATGATGATGTCTTCATGTTCAACAAGCTCATTGAGATGCACGGAAATTGCAACATCGATCGAGCTCGACAGGTTTTCGACAAGCTCAGCTCCAAAAAAGACGCGTTGGCGTGGGAGATGCTCGCCGGATACTGCGGCGGCGGGCAAATGCATCACGCAACCCAAATCTTTTAACGAGATGGCCTCTTCTGACTGATCTTTTAACAGCGTATGGCCATCGATCACGCAAAAAAAACGTTTAATTCCATTCCCGAGCTTGATCTTGTGGGAACGCAATGTTGGAACCTTTCGTCCAGCACAAAACTTTAGAAGGGTATTCTCGAGGTTCTGGCATAGGAGCATATGCCCCGAAATGGTATTTGCATGAAACGAAGGCTTTTTTCGACCAGATGCCTTTGGTTAACGTGGTGGCATAAATCGCTTATGCCCCAGCTGTCGAATGCCATGCTGTCGGTATATGCCCAGAATGCCTAGATGTTTATGATCATGGGGACCCTGTGGGGCATCAAATATGTTTCATGCCATGCCATGTCATAGCCTCGTGTCCTGAGGATCATGGAATCTAGGTCTGCATTCCAGAAGCATGGACAAACTCCAACCTTTAAGTTGCTAAGAAATTTTTCGATACCATGCCACCTCTTAGCCAAGGAGAGTCCAGGGATGTGGATGTGGATGTGGATCTCGGGATATAAATGGCATCTTTTGGTTTGGCCCTTTTGCTAAATGTGAATCTTAACTCTATTATGTTCCCTTTTCACAAATTATCATTAAAATGCACTTTGTTCTAACTCTCAAATTCTTCCCTCACGCATGCAAAAAGAATTTTGTAAGCTGGATCACGTCACGGTTATCGTAGCAGTCAAGGCATGTAAGAAGGAAGAAGCTCGAGCGTGTCATGGAATAAAATGGAGCACTTCACAGGAGAAGCAAGCAAGCCCCGGTACTCCTCGAGCTTCCCTCAAGGCAGCAGGCACACCAATCTCCGACCAACTCTTGGAATTTGCTCTGTAGTGCATGATACGCGACCCGGCCATCAGCCATACACTACCCTTCCCATCGGTGCATGTTGATTTGTTCCACACCCACGGATTAGGAAACTCGGTAGTGTATGGCACAGTCTCTCACTTCGCTTCCCGCCTCTCAGCGAGGATCACTCCCCTGACATTTTAAAGGGCGCTCCTGATCCAGCTGAAAGTAGGACCAGTTGTAACATCCTTGAGGGATGCAGCGGTGGGAGAGAGCGTACCCTTGGCGGATCTGGGCGTCGATTGTTCGTTGCCATTCGCGGCACACGCACCTCGCCTTGTGCAGATCGGTTGCTGCTGGATACGTAATGCAAACTGTATCATCATCGGGTATGCGGAGTGTGGGAAAGGCGCCGAGTGGACAGAGATCCTATCATCGCAAACGCGCTCGTTGGTTTCGTCACAAAGTGCGAGGTATTTAGTTCCATTTGGAACAAAGATTTAGTGACATGGAGCTCACTGATCGCAGGCTATAGCTGCCGAGAGAATGGAGAAAGTTGGCGGTGTGAAGCCAGACGGTGTTACGTTCCTCTCCGTGCGCCTGGTCGACAGAGCGAAGGAGGAATTCGAAGGAATACCTCGTAAGTATGGGATTGCCCCCATGATTCAACACTACACTTGCATGGTGGAGCTTCTCGGCCGCGCGAATCAACTCGACGAGGCAGTGAAATTGGTGAAAGGGATGAGCTGCAAGCCGGATGTTGTGATATGGAAGGCAGTGCTGGGAGCTTGCTGGAAGTGGAAAAATGTAACGCTCGGGAGGCTGGCTTTCGAGTCCATCATGGAGCTCGACCATCAAAATGCCTCGGGTTACGATCATCAAACAGGTTTGAAGAGATTTTCTCATGGCGATCAGATGAGCAGGTCTCCAGGTTTTGCCATGACGATGAAAGAGTATGTATCATATGATTTCTAGTTCTTCCAGTATGAACTCAGTGCTTTTACTTGCAGAGAAAGAAAGCAAGCCAGGCTTTACAGTCGCAGACGATAAAAAAACAAACCTCCATACTGATTGCATCTTTTCTTTTGTTTCTTTTCTCCAGAAACATGTGGTAACTGGTCCACTTTCAACTGTCCTGGCAGAAAGAAAAACCAAGACGAGAAAAATCTCAAACGCTTTGGCTGGATTCCAACCGGTGCTTGTCCACGGAGCTACGGTCTACGGGTACACTGAGTGTATCCAAGAGTATGTATTATATACGTTTCCAGTTCTTCCAGTATGAATTTAATGCTTTACTTGCAGAGAAACAAAACAAGGCACATATCCAAGGAGGACAAAAGTGGCACTCTTTCTTCGAACGATTTATAGATGATAAAGAAGAAGAAGAGCTGAATACCATTGAACAGAAATTATCTCATGAAAAAACTGTGATCAAACAAACAGATTGCCAAAACTCAGTGCTTTACTTGCAGAGAAACAAAACAGGGCAGGCTTTACAGTGGCAAGGACAAATGGAGCTTTCTTCGAACGAACCTTTATACTGATCTTTTTTATCTCTCTGACGATTTTATTTTGTCTCAGAAACATGTGGTAACCAACTGTCCTGGCAGAAAACAAACCCAAGGGGAGAAAAATTGCAACGCTTTTGGCTGGATTCGAACCGGTGATGGCCCACGGAGCTACGGACAACGATCTCTACGGACGTACGCCTCGTACGCCTTTAAAACCGCGAGTCGCGTTCAATGGTCGGTCCACCAACCAGCACAACCAAACGATGGGATCGACGGCTGAGGTTTTTTTTGGAGTTTTCCTCTTCTAGAAGCCTCTTTTAAAAGAATGTAGTTTGGAAAGGACGAATGGCGGCATATTCTCGGGACATGTACGTGTTTCGGCCTCCCACTGAGCGCCGGGCACGTGTCACCCAGGTAAAAGTAAAACGCGTCAAGGAAATTCTCTTTACCTTTTGTTGCTAGCGCTAGGATATTAAGTAGAGCGCCCAGAGAGAAGAAAGAGAGTGTTCTTGGCGATCGATCGATCGATCGATGCGTGGCGGCGAGCTCCAATGCGCTGGATTTGTGATCGCGGATGCGGTGGAATGATCTGTGAGGTAAGTGGGCGCCCGCATTGTGGCGGATTGAGCTTGATTTTGCTCCTCTGGGGTTTGTATTCGCGAATTCTCACTCTCATTGTGTGTGTGCTCCAGCAGAGAGCGTGATCGGTGATTTTAATGTATCACAGATTCGTTGGAGCGCAGAGCGTTCATGTAGACTACGGCTAATTCTGCGTGGACGGTGGGGTCTTTTGCGAGCCCCTCTCTCTCTCTCTCTATCTCCATATCTCGTTTCTCAAATCATACGCCACCATGGCAGTGATGAGAACTATTTCGTGCTTTCCGGTCTTCTCTTCGTGGAGCTCACAGGTACTGTGTTTATTTTTCTTTTCTCGCGAATCTTTCTTGACTGGAATGATTGGTTGTGTAGAAGAAGGACAAGAAGAAAAACAACGACGCTTCCTTGTCCGAGAGGAGACTGGATCTAAGCAGAGAAGTTTCGGGAAAAGCTAAAGTCTGGCCGGGAGATGATGCGTCACCGACAATTGGTGGCTCCAAGGATCCAGAAAAGCAAACACTCGCTACTACTGACTTGAAGAGCTCCAGCGCGAGCGTGAGATCTCTTCCAGATCCGGAGGATTGCAAGACGCCCTCTACCAGCTTCTCGTCTTCGGCAGAGTTTTCTCCCATCGTCATCCAGCCAAGTGGTAGCGATTATCATCCAGCTTACGGCACCAAGGATGGTGACGAAGAGGAAAGATACGATGGTTCTATTCGCTCCGCCTTGAAGCATGTCGAGGACTGGGTCAGGAACCTCGAGGAACTCGACGAGATGGATAAGTCCGGCGAGGAAGATCCAGAACAGGATACTTGTGCTCAAGCTGCTACTGCGGCCGAAGATCAAAGTGACCCGGATAGAGAGCTCAACGATCTCGTCGTCCAGTCCTTAGATCCGCTGGCAGGGAGCGCTCACTTGGCCGGGATCGGCCTCAAGTCTCTTCCTTTGCTGGGAGCTTTCAACAACTTAAGGAGCCTTTCGATCTCTGGAAACTCCATCGGTGAGATCTCTCGTTTTCTTTTCTAGAGTTTCTCTGACTTCTTTTTCCTACAGCTAAAATTCCTCCGGGATGTCTCCCCAGGAACCTTCACTTTCTCGACCTCTCCCGAAACAAGATCTCGGTGATCGAGGGGCTTCGAGGACTAAGCAGGCTGCGCATTCTCAACCTGTCCCACAATCGCATTTCACGAGTTGGACATGGTAAGATATTTTTAAACCAGTGTGGTTTTTTTTTCCTCTATTAAGGACTTGTCAGCTGAAACCGGTATTAACGAACACTATCGTCACAGGCCTGGGAAACTGTACCTCGGTACGAGAGCTCTACCTCTCCGGCAACAAAATCAGCGAAGTCGAGGGGCTCCACCGCCTGAGGAAGCTCTTCCTGCTCGATCTCAGCAACAACAGGCTCACGACTGCGAAGTCTCTGCTCCAGCTCGCGGCAAACTACAGCTGCTTACAGGTCTTAAACCTGCTTGGCAACGCGGTTCTTCTCAACTTGGGCGACGAGCAGCTCAAGCGGCTGGTGGGAGCCATCGCTCCTCGCCTCAGCTATCTCAACAATCTGCCCATCAAAGCCGTGCCGGCGCGGGAGGCCGTGGTGGGGAAATTCGCAAGGACGGAGCTGGTTGGTGCGAGGAAAGCGAAGAGATCGTCGGGTAGCAAGGCCAAGCGAGTGGAAAGCCTGCAAGCAAACTCTTCCCGAAAGAGTGGAGGACGAAGAAGACGTAACAAGCATTTCTAGAATGTATGTATTGTACGACTCTGGAAAAACTCTCTTCAGGACTGATGGAAAAGGTAACAGGACTGAGAGAAAAGAAACCTTCGAAAAGATACAAGCATTACTGAGCAGTGGGATTTGTACTAAAAGCTGGTGGGCACAGAAGATTCAAGCTTTTCTTTCCCTGGGATCCCACATAGCTTATTTGTCACACACTAACACTAGAGAGTAAGAGAAACCAAAACTAAAAAGCTTTTGTCTAGACGGCGCTAGATCCATTGGTAGCACTGTTGTTGGCATCTGGAGCTTGAGCCATGGAGGTCGTCGTCGTCGTCGTTTCCTCATCGTTCTCTCCGGATAAATCTTCGAGGCTCTTGCCTTTAGTTTCCGGAACCAGCCAAGTGAAGCAGAAGCCCGCGAGATTGGCGAAAGCCAAGACTATGAGCGACCTCTGCATGCCAATGCCTGGACGATCGTAGCCACTGTCAAGCTCCGTGCGGTGCCTCGATTGCGATGCGTAAGCGAAGCCAAAGGTGCCGATGATGGCACCGGCTTTGCCTGCTGCTGCCGAGATACCGTGACAAGTCGCGCGGAGCCTGGCCGGGAACAGCTCGGCCGGGACGATGAAAGTGGTGCTGTTGGGCCCGAAGTTCGCGAAGAAGAACGTCAGGCCGAAGAGGGCGACGAAGCCATGGTTGTGTCCCCCCATGTACTTGCCGGTGTCGTGGTTCTTGTGTTGGCCTCGCCAGTAGCTCTCGTATGGAATGGCCAGAGCAAACATAAACACGGTCATCATGAAAAATCCCATAAGCTGAATCGTGAACCTTCCAAGGTGGTCGATGAGCGCGACTGTGAACCAGTAGCCAGGGACCGTGCCGAACATAGCCACCAGAGCTTGGGCTTTCGCGAGATCGAGCGTCTCTTCCAGAGCTGCCAGTTGCTTCGCCTGCTTGAGATAGCCAACCTGGGTGTAGATGTCTTTCTGGAAGATTTGCTGGCTGTAGAAGGCAACGTCGAGGAGGAACCATGTCGTCGTGGTTCCCAGGAGCTGTATACCGTGCTTCCTCGCGAACTTCCAAGAGATCAGAGTGTACTCGTCCTCGGCCTTGACGGTGCTCACGGCTTTGTTGTCCACCGGGAGGTCCACCCGGAGCACCTTGCTCATATCGGCGGCGGCTTGATCGAGCCTCTTCTCGACTAGAGCTGTGTACCGTGCTGTCTCTGGCATTTTCATACGCCAGTAGAACGTTGCGAGAGCGGGGATGCTTCCCAGCATGAAGATAATCCTCCAGACAAAGTCTGCCTGGACTGGCGTCGAGGCGATCGGGTCTTCAAAAAACTTGGGAGTCGGGAAAGCATGCTTGAAAGCTGCTGACACGACGATCGTGACGATAGCCGCTGCGAGGATGCCGAAGCCTTGCATAGCGAACACTGCAGCTATGAAAGCTCCCCTCGTCTTTGTGTTGGCGTACTCCGACATGATGGTGGCCGAGAGAGGATAGTCGCCCCCAATGCCGAAGCCGAGCCAGAACCGGAAGAAGCACAAGGTGGTCATGACGGACTGCGCGGTGCTGCCGAAGGAGAGGCCGGAAGCTATGGAGCAGATAACCATCAGCAGCAGCGTGAGACCATACACCTTCTTCCGTCCCAGTTTGTCACCGAGCCATCCAAAGAAGAGCTGTCCAGCCAGAGTTCCACAGAGAGCCACTCCGCTCACAGCGGCATTGACTTGCACTGGCAACGTGCCTGGCTTCCCGGTGTGTGGATCGTAGTAGTAAATGCGTCCGAGGAGCTTTGTCAGCAACGAGATGCAGAAGAGGTCGTAAGCGTCTGTGAAGAATCCCATTCCCGCAATGACAACGGCTGTAACATGATACCACTGCGTCTTGGCTTTGTCCAGAGCATGGAGAACTTCCAGTTGCTCTCTAGCCATTTCCTTCGGCAGCTCCTTCGTCTAGGAAAACAAAATGAAAAATCTGACATGTTAGATACACATCTAAAAGGATATGAGAGACCACACCTTGAAAAAAAGGCTGCGTTCCTGCTACTTCTTGTGCGTAGTTATAAAGCCAATTTATCGAAGATAAAAAATCCCGCCCAAGCTGCATATTCTGCTGGACATCCCAAGTGTTCCACCAATAAAAGCTGGCTGTGTGTTGGCCCCGCAGCGATATGCACAATGTTTGCTCGTCCTACACCAGAGAATTTGATCGAGTCCTGACAGCAAACATCTCATAATGAATTAAATATGGGATGAAAAATATCACCTTAAAAATTGCGAATTGATGACAAAACCATCTTTGGGATTAGTGTTGCACCTGTTCAGGTACTTGTGAATCTGCGGAAACAGCGGCGGCGTCTGCTTCTGTTTTTGAAACCCTCCGTCTCTTCGTTGACGCAGGCACAGATTGTTGCACAAAATCGCCGTATTTTCTACCACTGCGAGTGCAACGAACCACCGGAAGAGATTGCGGTGTAGTAACCACCGAGCTTCTCGACGTCTTCGGTGTTTTCGGTATTTTCGGTATCTTAGCTTCATTCGTCTCTTCCACTTCTGCTCCGGCTACTGGCTGTGGCTTCTCCTCAACAGGGGTAGAAAAGTGTTGATCACTTTCCATTTTCTCGGCATTGTCCTCCGGTTCGTCAATCCTTGAATCGAGTGTAGCAGGTTCATCCGGTTCGTCAATCCTTGCATCGATTGTAGTAGGTGCATCCTGAGCAGCAAAAGCCTCCGCAGCTTCAGCTACAGCGACTTCGGGTTCTGAAAGTTCCATCTTCGAAAGTGCAGCTTCGCTGACCAAAACAACTTCAATGTCGTGCCGAAGACCATCAATTATCACTTCTCCTGTCGTATCAGGGTCCTGTTTACTTTCCTGTTTATTCCCTCCATCCTCCTCCTGCGCACTTTCTTCCTCTTTGTCGCTTTCATCTGAATCTCCTCCCTCACTCTCACCTGATTCCTGTGCGTCCTTTGCGTGTTCTTCTTGTATGCATTCAGCTGCGCTAGCAAAGGCTCGGTCAGCCGCTTTTAGTTCTTCTTTGTCGCCCTGTACAGAATCTCCCTTCGTATCAACAAAGAAAATGTTGCCAACTTCGTCAGCATCTGTAGCTTGATCGATCTTCTTGCTGCGACCCTTCTCGGAAACACAATTCGCTATGATAGATGCAAGAACTTCCTCGTTAACGCTTGCCAGCCACCCTGATAAACCAAACAACTCAGCACAAACGACAGCAACAACTTAAAACAAGGTACCTATCAAGGTGCGAGGGTTGAACAGTATATTATCGGCAGGCTTGCCTTCCATTTTAGACGACTGTAACCACTGAGCAAATCCAGCTGGGACACTCCATGACGGTAGCCGGGAGGAAAGTTCAACGGCTTTTGTTCGGGCACCTCGTAATCTGTTTTGTAACATAATAAATATCTCAAGTACATCGACAACTTAAACGCACCTGTAAAACTCCATTGCACGTTGCGCTAGCCCAATCTTTTTCAAAAAGAGAGAAAACTTTGCGTTGGCTCCAAGGTGCTGGTCGTTGAGTCTAGGTAAATCTGCCAGCACAACATCGTACAAGATTCCTCTCAAGAATAATTCTTCCTCCGTGTTCTGGATGAAAGCACGCGGCATGAGAAATGCAAATGAAAGAAAAACTCACCAAAATATGTTCCACCGGAAGAATTGGATCCAATAACACATCCACAAGCATATCTGCTGAAAGTCAGAGGTTAGTTAGAGAGGGAGAGAAAATAAATCTAGCTGACCTGCACCGTGCACCGCCAGAAACTTGAGGCGCTCCGAAAAATCGTGATTTTCCAAGTCCACCTTCTTCTCACTCTTACCGCGCAGTTCCAGGACGCTCACGATCACTCGCAGTAGCACGGCCTCAGAAGCTACAATACTTGCACAGGTTTCCATGTCACCACTTTCCACCCTCATCGAATTCTTCATCGCTTTCGAGGAGAGTGGAAAAAGCTTCGCAACACCTTTGTTGTCGCTGTTCTCGATCCCGGTCAGCTTCATCAGTCCCTTTCCAGCCAGTACCAGGCCTCGAAAATCCAACGACGAAGAATCGTCACTCCTTAGAGTTTGAGGTGGCCTCGCTTGCTGTCGACTTGTGTAAAGCGCTATGCTTCCCAAAACCTCCTTGCATGCCAACTCGAGCAACTTTACAGCGTTGCGCCACGACTTTGATGGACAGGAACCAGAAGCTGTGATGATAGAGCCAGCTTCCGAAAGAGCAGAAACCACGGGAGCCATCGCAGCCACCGCAGCAAATGGATTTGTCGTCAACCCTCTCAAACGATGCATCAAATCCTTGGCCGAGGAGATAACGTGAACTGCCAGCTTCTCCTTGTTTTCCTGTGCTAATGCCAAATCCTGTGAGCAATGGAGCTCCAGTGCTGCGTACGCCCACCACAAGGCCAATGGAGAATCCGGACGACACACCAAGAGCCTCCTACACGAACTAATCCATTCCTTCAATCTCTCACCGCGCCCAGCCAAATTCTCTACAGCCACTATCACAGCTTCCACAGATTTTCCAAAAGCCGCGTCTGTCACTACCGGTCCCTGTGAAACCTGGAGCAGATTATCACCCGGCAGCTCCTCGCATTGAGTAGAATCCAGCATTTCCTTCACTGTCTTGCACAGTAGGTCTCCAAACCTGGGCAAATCGGATTCCAGCGCCGATCGCAGCTTTCCGGGAGGCAAATCCGCAATGGCGCGCTCCAGGAGCGGCTGCAGACGACACATTGCAGCCGATCGATCGTCTCGGACGAGCTTCTGCGCCACAGCGACCACGAACGCGCTGGCCCTCTTCATTCTTCCCATCCTGGCCAAGAACCCTAGCTAAACCCTAGAATATGAAAAATAACGTTGACGGGACAGCCTAGCAAACACCCTTTAGTTTGACGGGCGTGACGAGTATCCCCTTCCTCCACTCGGGATTAGGGTTCTTGGATCGATGGCCCGGCAGCGCGAATTGGAGGGCGGCCAGAGTAGTGATTCCCGGCATAGCTTAGCTCCGTGAGAGGCGTGTTCTAGATTTGCAGCGGCATTGTGGGAATGGAGCTGGGGAGGAGCTCATTCTGGCGATGAAAGCTGGGGATTTCTACGAAGTAAGCCTATGAGTGTCTTGAATCGCTACAAAGATCTGGATTTAGGGCAGCAAATGGCGTCGATTGAGGTCCTGGGATTCTCGGCACTGTGTACCTGTGCCGCGGTGCTGCTCTCCACATGGCATATTTACATGCATCTCATGAACTACACGGAGCCGACGTTCCAACGCTACATTGTGAGGATCATCTTCATGGTTCCGGTAAGAACAAAACTTTTTTCTCTTTCGTTCTTGGGCCTCACGGCCGAGTTCTTCGCAGGTCTATGCGATGATGTCTTTCCTCTCGCTCGTGTTGAACGACAAATCCATTTACTTCAACTCTATACGAGATATGTAAGTTCCACTCCTTCCAAGTCTTTCATTTTCTTTGTCCTCTCTTTCGTGGATCTGACTCTTGTTTCTTTGTAGATACGAAGCCTTCGTGATCTACAACTTCTTGTCCCTGTGCCTAGCTTGGGTCGGTGGTCCCGGCGTCGCAGTCCAGAACTTAAGTGGTCGAGTTTTGAAGCCATCAATCCAGCTGATGACTTGTTGCTTCGCTCCCATTCCTCTCGACGGGTATGCAAACTCATCCATTTCTTGGTCGGTGCTGATGCCGCGTTCTCTGGATTTGCACAGGCGTTTCATTCGAAGATGCAAGCAAGGCTGCTTGCAATTCGTCATTCTCAAGCCCGTTCTCGTTGCGGTGACTTTTATTCTGTACGCCAAGAACAAGTACGAAGACGGGAACTTTAGCACGCGGCAGAGCTACCTGTACATCACAATCATCTACACGCTCTCCTACTCTCTAGCCCTGTACGTGCTCGTCCTCTTCTACGTCGCCTGCAAAGAGCTTCTCCGGCCTTTCAAGCCCGTGCCAAAGTTCGTGATCATCAAGTCAGTGGTGTTCTTGACGTACTGGCAGGTCCGTTATCAACTTTCGAAGCAACAAAGTCTTATGGGATCTAACTTTGCTTTTTCTGTTCCCCCGCAGGGCGTCCTGGTTTTCCTGGCTGCAAAGTCTGGGCTCATAAAGAACGCCGACGACGCAGCGGACGTCCAAAACTTTATAATCTGCATCGAGATGGCGGGTGCTGCAGTTGGGCACCTCTACGCCTTTCCTTTCAAGGCTTACGCCGAATCAAAGGCGGGTACTGCAGGAGGACTTGCCGGAAGCTTTACGCACGCCTTAAATCTCAAAGACGTCGTCTATGACACAGTTCACCAGGTGAATTGAGAGTCTTTCTTCGCTCTTTTGGATTTGTTGTCATGGTTTAATCGTTTTCGTTTTGCTACCACAGTTTGCTCCTACATATCACGACTACGTCCTGTACAGCGAGGAAGACGCTCGAAAGTATCGATTGAGAACGGGGCAAGAGATGGAAACGATGCATCCTCACGCATTCACCGACGCGGACACCAATCCCATCCGCTATGAATCTCATCCAGTTGGGCCGCTCTACGAGACATCACTGCTGGACACGCTACCTCCAGGCCAAGCAACATCGCCCATCAGAAAGAGCAGCTCGGAGCTCAAGACCGCGGCGGTGATGAAAGCTACCATCGACGCCAAGATGGCAGGAGACAAAGCTCACTCGGACGAGATCAACATCTTGTGAGCTCTATAGTTTTATCGACGCCTGCGAGAAAGAGAGAAAACTTCTGGAGAAAAAAATGAGAATTCGATTCATTTTTTCTTTCGTTATACAAATGATAGAATGTCTTGGCATCGTCTCGAAGCACCACATCGCTCGATATGTGTCCCCGAATGGCACACAATAAGAAAAAGAAAAAAAAAATAGTCTCAATGTACAGTCTAGCTAAGCCTTACACTCAGCTACCTTATAAAAATGAGCTGGAAAGAATGTTGTGTGGTATTTACAACGCTTGGCGAGCATACTCCTTGCATCTGTCCTTGAGCGTCTGGAACAACAAAGAGCGAGCATCGTTTCCAAAATCTAGAAAAACAAAACGATTCCACTAAACATACCCGCAGTTCATCGTGAAGCAAGAGGAACGTTTTGCTCATTCGCTTGAATCTCTGAAAGGAAGTTAAGTTCACAGTAAGTAAGACTGATCAACCAGGACGAGAAGTGTTTTAATGTCACCTTGCGGCAATGCATATAGTCCTGTTTCACCTTTTGATAGATGGCTGCGAGGCGAGTCTTGTCATTGGCGCTCTTGGCAATGTCAATGTCTCTCTGCAATCTTTCAAAACTTCCCCTGGCACGAGAAAAATGAGAAAAGAAAACAAAGATGAGATTGCTTCCACACGTACCTATCGCCTTCCAAACAAGAATTCAGTCGAATGTACACAGGATACTTCTCCCGGTATTCGCGACAATACTCCATGTACCTGAAAGACCACGACGAGAGTTAACACAAACATCAAAGAAAGAAAAGAAAGAAAATACGTACTGTTCATGGCTTCTGATAGGACCCCTCACTTCGCTGACGGCTTTCTCATAAGGAGCAAAAAAGTCCGTGTCCTTAGACGTTCCTCCCGGAACCGGATCGGAATGTCTCCTGTCTGCTTCTACCCGAGCTCCTGTATCGAACTCTTTCCTGTCTGCCTCTATCCGAGCTCCTGTATCGAACTCTTTCCTGTCTGCCTCTATCCGAGCTCCTGTATCGAACTCTTTCCAAAGCTCGTTCCTGTCCGCCTCTACCCGAGCTCCTGTATCAAACTCTTTCCGAGGTTCGTTCCTGTCTGCCTCTACCCGAGCTCCTGTATCCAACTCTTTTCGAGGCTCATTATCTCTCGGTTGATCCTTGCTCTTTCTCACAGAAACCTTCGAGCGTCCATCGACTTTAGCAGGAGGTCCAGAAGGTCGAGGATGAGTCTCGGGTCCAGAATGCTTGGGATGAGCCTCAGGTCCAGATGATGTCCTTGGATAAGCCTCGGGGCCAGAACTTCTCGCCTCTGCTGCTTCAAAAGTGGTGTCTCGTGTATGTGGAACAGGTGCTTCCACCTTTTTATCAGTATGTGCCCGTGAAGAAGCTCGTTCTCTCGAGTTTTGTTCCAGCGCCTTGGAGACCGGAGGCTCGACTGGTTTTTCTCGCTTCTCGTCTTCACGCGGTCTACTCTGACTCTGAGTAGGAGCTGGCAACTCAGGCACGTCGCTCTTGACTTCCAGTGCCTCTTCAGGTGAGTCACCATCGCATGGAATAATGTCAACCTCTAACGGTATAGTCTCAGTTATTCTCTCCACGATAGAGTTGAGTTTGGAGCTATCATCTGCGTCAACAATGTCGATGTCCTCGGAGTCCTTATCTCTGTGAAGTTCGTCAGGAGTCTTCCTTTCGGAGCCAGGTCTCGCACTCGCAGGCTTGGATTTGTGAGACCTTTTCTCTGCTTTGGCTTTCGGCTTGTGGTTATCGTCGTCGCTCACAATATCAACATTTTCGTCCTCCTCGTCGCTGCTACTGCTGGATTCGCTGCCACTACTTCCACTACTTCCGCTTCCGCTACTGCTATCGCTTCCACTATCAGAGTCGCTATCGCTGCCACTGGTGCTACTAGAACCACTGCTCGCCGCAGCCTTGGGAGGATTCGGTTCCTCCAAAGGCTCTACAGTAATATTCGCATCGTCCCCTGGAGTTCCTCCCGGTTGAACTTCTCCCTCCTCTTCGTCCTTTTCTTGTATGGCGTTGGTTTTATGTTCTAGTAGCACTGGTGACTTCGCCGGACTCTCATCCTCTTCCCCGATATCTATCCGTTCTACTTCGACACCTGCGGCCGGTAACTTCGCAAACTCATCCGCCTTGGATTCAGCAGCACCGGCAGGAGATTCAGGAGAGTCCACTGCTGTTGCATCTGGTAAACTGAAGAAGAAAAAAAAAATGTTAGGGATCGGCACAAAAGAGCGTCTTTGAAATATAAACATACCTGCCACTTCCAGGAGATGGCCCTGTATAACTTTCCGGCTGAACTCCAGGCTTGAGTTCGTATTTTCCCGGAGCTTTATATAGAGCGATCTGTAGACATGAAACACCATAAGTAGAGAAAAAATGTAGAATATAAAACTAAAATTACCGATTTTAAAATCTTCTCGATGTTCCTTCTGTCCGGTTGCGGCATTACTTCGCTTAATGATTTTTCAATAGCCTGCAAAACCAAGGATGAGCTTCGTGTATGCAGCTAAAACTGTACCTTCATTCCCCTCGGGGTTTCGGTCAATAGAGCAATTATGGTGTTTCGCAATTCAGTCATGTTCACTGCTCCTCCTGCGGCTCCTCCGGCAGAGGTCGTCTTGACATGAACTTCGGGTGTTGTAGCGGCCGAAGTTTTCTCCTTCTCCTTCTCCTTCTCCTTTGGAACCGCTTTAGCTGGCGAGGCGCTTCCGATGGTGATCTCCTCCACAAGCGCACGCTTCTCCACACTTGGCAGAGAATGCGGAGGAGCGGATGCAGTCGCAGCTAGAGGCGGAGAGCGAGCTGCCGGAGGCACAGCCGGCTCCGCAATTAGTAGCGGTCCATTTTTCTCCTTAGACGGTACTGAGGCAGAATGAGCAGGAGGTGGCTTAGACTTAGCAGGAACCACTAAAAAATTTATTTCTTCAGCAAAATTAAGAACACCCTCACAGCTACTTACCTGCCGGTGTGACCTTTCGTTTCTTCGGTGGCGGTTCCTTCTTCCCTTTTATTGGAGGTCTTCTGGCAGCAGCTGTGCAAACAATCGTAGTGAGGAAAAGTCTGCAGCAGAAGCATTGAAAAGACTTACCATCTCCCGGTGCAGCCGTCTCCGCTTTCATCAGCGAAGAATCCACGAGAATGGCCCTGCAAGCACGCACAATGAATGGAAAGATAAATGCTACACATCTCACGAGAGAACTTACTTCCGGGACTTGAGTTGCTGCTCCGCCTCAACCGAGCGCTTCTTCACTCTGTCCTTCTCGCTGGCGCTGAGAGTTCGCTGCACAGCAATCTTCCTCCACACAGATCCCACTGCCGCGAGCACTCCCTGCCCGTCCTCTCCAGCCTTTTGCTCCTCAAAAACGTCGCAAAGCTCCCCCGGCTCTGGCGCTGACGAGAACTTATACTCTTCGTGTCCCACCTTTAATAGCTGTCAAGAGAAGACACCCATCAGTCACTCCCTAGCACGATCGAGAATGGAAACGCGAGAAAATAAATGTCTAGGCTAGAGCGAAGAACTTACATGACCGCCGCTAGGATGGCTCGCAAACTTGATGCTGGAAGCCGCGCCCTCGGCCTCGGCGCGGCGGAGCTCATCCAGCAATCCGGGAGTGAGGCGGATCATCATCGCGAACTGCGAAGGGCCCTGCGGAGCGCATACCAGCTGGAAGGACTCCTCTAGGGCACTGGCGGAGGAGCTGGAATCGTTGCGCGGCGCAGCTCCCGCAGATTTGGAAAGCTGCTGGTGCTGATGCTGCTGGTGCTGGCTCTTCTTGGGCGGCATACCTCGGCGGAGCGCCGCGATCCCTCCGGCGCCGCCGCTACCGCGTCCATGGCCGCCCTTCCCTCCACCCCTCCCAAACCCTGACATTGGCCTCTACTTCATTGCGCCACTGGCGACCATGGCCGGCAAAAAATTCCAAGCCCTAAGATTTGTATACCCTCGACTCAATGGTTTCGACATTGCCCACCAACCTACCTAGATCCCATCAAAACTTTACGTGCCCTTATTTTATCCTAGTTACCATTAGTATATGGTAACTTTAAGGGTATAAAATTAGGGCTCTTGAAGAATATAAGAATCTTTACAAAACCCAGGAGCCCTAAAATAAATTTTCTATCTGGATCGCAGTGCTCGTGCTCTGTGCGACTGAATGGGGCGGCAGCGCGGCGCAGGAGCTACAAATCTTACATTGACTTTCGGGTATTGGGGCAGTGCGAGTGGAAATTCCCTTCCTTTACACTGTTCTTGGCATTGTTTCTGGATCCAGCGTATGCTACAAATGCCGCTTTTTTGCCCCTTCTCGGGCACTCCAAAATGCCGGCGCGGCCGCTGCTCTTGCTGCTGCTTCTCCCATTTCTCAGCGGTTAGTCATGGAATTTTTCTTTGGGTTCGTTCTTTACTTGACTGTGAGCGTTTCGGTTTTTCAGCTTCTGGAAGGCAAATCATCAATGCGTCGGATCATCACGGTATGCGCTTGTAGAGTTGGACGGATCGATGCTTCGTTTTCTAGTCTTGTTCCCTTCTCACGCGCTCTCGTTTTGTTTCTTCTTCTCACATGGAAAAGGTGGAGAAGCGTTTGGAAAAATCCGTGCGGTCAATCTCGGAGGATGGCTAGTGATCGAGAAATGGATCAAACCGTCTCTCTTTGATGGCATTCCAAACAAAGACCTCTTGGTACTTTTCTTTCCTTTCTTCCATCTCTTGCTTACTCGTTCGCTTACTCTCTACGATTTCTTAAAACTAGGATGGAACACAAATCCAGCTGAGATCCCTCAAACTTGGATTGTTCGTGTCTGCCGATGGCGGAGGTGGACAGAAGATTTCTGTCAACAGACCATCAGCTTCAGAGTGGGAAACTTTCAAGGTCAAGTGTTTCGCGTAGAAAAACGTTCTTTCATCTTCTTAATCTTCTTTTTCTCTTTATGCAGCTGTGGAGAGTTACTAGCACTAGATTCCAGCTACGTGTCTCCAACAATGACTTTGTTTCGGCTTCAGATGAAGGCGCTGTGGAGGCCTCCAAATCTTCACCAGATATGTGGGAAACTTTCGAGATTATTCGTGACTCGAGCTCGAGTAAGAGAGTTCACCTCAGAGCTCACAGCGGCATGTATTTACAGGTCCGAAAGATCTTGCGCTTCTTTTACTTGAACTTTCCTCCTTACCTTTGTTTTTCACAGGCAAAGGATCCAAGCCAACTTACAGCAGATTACAAAGGAACTCCAGGCTGGGATAACAATCCTGCCGTTTTCGAAATGTTTGTCAACACCGTTCTTGGAGGAGAGTTTCAGCTGGCAAATGGTTATGGCCTCGCTGCAGCACCGGCAATCTTCGAGGTATCATCGGCAATCTTCGAGAGTTTCGTGTCACATATCTGAATGCATTTCTTTCTTTGGTTTCCAGGAACATAGAAACGGCTTTGTGACCGCGAATGATTTCAAGTTCCTTGCATCCAACGGGATCAACGCCGTGAGGATCCCCGTTGGATGGTGGATAGCTTACGATCCAAAACCACCTTTTCCTTTTGTTGGAGGCTCTCTGCAAGCTCTTGACAATGCTTTTCAATGGGCCGGGTAACTTAGATTCCTCATTCTCACATTTTTCAAGCTCTGATAATTTTTCTTACAATCCAGGGTGAACAACATGAAAGTTATCATTGATCTCCATGGAGCTCCTGGATCACAAAGCCCGTGGGAGCACAGTGGAACACGCGATGGAGTTTCCATTTGGGGTCAGCCCGAGTACATCTCTCAAACCATCCAAGTGATCGATTTTCTTGCTTCCAGGTATCGTTGTGCTCTACATTAAACCAGCTGACCATTGTTAAGTATACCACTCCACCAGGTACTCGAAAAATCCTGCCTTGCTTGGCATCGAGCTCTTAAACGAGCCTAGAAGTGACGACGTTTCATTCGAGACTCTCAAGCAGTACTACACTCAAGGCTATCAGACAGTCCGGAAGCACACCTCAACCGCATACGTGATTATGTGCCAGAGAATTGGAGCTGATCCAAACGAGCTCGCCAATCTTTTGACAAAAGAGAATGGCTACTCGAACGTTGCGCTTGACATCCATCTCTACAACCTCTTTTACATCACATTCTATGGCAAATCTGTCCAGTGGAACATAGACTACGTTTACAATGAAAGGAAGAAGCAGCTAGATTCTCTTCGCGTCGCTGGGGGGCCGGTCATCTTTGTTGGTAAGAAGATCGTTTTACATGGAAGAAGAGATCTGATTTTTCTTTTTTTTTTCCTTGGAAGGTGAATGGACAAACGAGCTGAACGTAACTGGTGCCTCGAGCTCGGACTACACTGCCTATGCCACTGCCCAGCTCGAAGTTTTTGGTGCTGGAGCGTCGCTCGGATGGTCATTCTGGTGCTTGAAAAACGATAATCTCCACTGGGACTTTGAGAGGTCTGTCAAGATGGGGTACCTTCGCCGCAAAGGATCACGAGGGGGCTGGCCATGACAACGTCTAGCAATAAGGAAGCTTGAGATATGAAAAGCTGATACCTTGCTTTTGAAAGAATACTAGAGGCACAAGTTGCCAAAATGAAAACTCCCCAAGCTACAAACCGACCCAGTAAGATCGACCATTGGGATTGTGAAGAGGAGAGACGGTAGGAGATGTAACGCTCCACTCATACCACACCTGCGGATAAAAATACATGTAAGAGTGGACATGGAGAAACAGAGAGGCCTTACTTTGGTAGGAGCAACACAGCGCCAAAAGTGGAGCTCCAACAAAGCACCGGCAGGAACGTATATTGGTGTGCGGAGAGGAAAGAATATAGAAAACCTGCAAGAAAATTTGAAGCGACTCCAGCATCTCCATTTGCCAAGCTTACCAGCTGAACATGTTTGGTGTTGCTGTAGATGGTTCAATGCCGAGGTGAATATCCTTGTACAAAACAGCGTCAAAGTAGCCTCCGAATCCTGCGTAAGAGTGAAACGTAAGCATTGATTTGCGGGTGAATCTACAGTCCAATACAACAGTACCGTGAACTAGAGCTGATCCTGTATCCGGTGAGAAGTTAAAAACGTGCCGCTTGTATCTCCTGTTGTCAGTGTTGTCCGTTGGGTGTACAAATGTAAAAACCTGTAAATAAACAAAGAGTTGTCTGCCGTTCTGGACCTGGCATAACACTTACAGGTTGAGGGGCAGCCAAAGGAGCCGCATTGTGCAGCTTTACAACATAAGCCGTCTCAAAATGCGAAAGGTCATTGTAAGATTTGACCTGGAAAGGCACAAGGTCCACCAGGTAAGCTGTCTAGCTCGAGCAAACAGGTACGTACGTCATTGTACAACTTTGATGCCGTAACGGGACCTATATAGCTTGTGTATCTGCAAGAAACTTGTTGAAACGAAGACTTGAGTTCTGTCACTTACGATGAGGGAATAGAAATTCCATCTTTCTTCAAAAACCGTTGAGCGCCGTCCAAGCACTCCGGAGAGAGCTCGTTATCTCCAAATGATCCCAAGAGCTCACTAACCTGTCACACAATATGAGGATAGAAATATGCAATTTGGTGTTATACCAAAATATCTGCTTGCTCGGGAGCATCCCAGTGCCTCATGTCGCAAGAAACGAGTTCTACTAGATCTTCCCATCCCTCCATCTTGATAAGCCTCTGATCACACGCAAGCCGAATACAAATGAAAAACTAAGAGAATTTTCAGAAACGAAATTACCGAAAGCGTAACAACAGCGTTGGGATTCTTTTCAACCGCATAGACACGTAGATTTCTTCCACATTCTTCAGCAGCCTTCAGATAAACGAACGGAAGTCAAGAATTATAAAGACGCTTGCATACCTTGAGCGAAGCTCGCACAAGAGGTCCTCTTCCAGCGCCAACCACCATAAGCACCTGAAACTTAAAAGTCATTATCCCAGAAACACTGACCATCATACTTACAATAGTTTTGGTAGATGCCTCTGCATCAGACACCCGATCTACTAAGGCTGCCCGTACAGCGTTTTGATACTGTGTTAACATAAACAATGTAGGTTCGATGCATTTATAGGTAAAACGAAAAGACGAACTTGATCATATTTCGTGGCATCTTTTTCAAAGGTCTCGTAGGTTTGCGCCTCCAAATTATCCATCAACGGCTGGAAAGAAAAAGAAAAGAACGAGCGGAAATGTTTTAAGAAACATAAGATTTACGGTATACCTGTAGTGGCGCTTGCAGGAAATCTCGGTATCCTAACTGCAAATGTAATGTGGTAATTATACGTCTCAAGAAGGAAGAAGAAAGATCATGGGTAAAAATCACCTCGAATTGTTCCTGTGTAGTCAATGGGTCGAGCTTGCGATAGAGGTTCGCAACATAATCGCGATAAAGTATTAAAGGATCCTGAGAGTTTCCATTGTCTGATTTCAAAACGAGGAATCAACTAGTTATCAAGTGACTAACAGAACAAACCTTGCCCAAGCTCTCCATTTTCTGCCGCATACTCAAGCGCACCAACTGAATGAAATGACTCACCGGACAAAATAACCTGTCCAATGGTCAAATGTGAAACACAAAGAGCACGAGCAACAAACCTGCACTGAGTGATTAAACAGCATTGTAATCAGACTCTGGTGACGCTTTGACAGGCAAGGATATCCTCGTTTGTTCGTCAAGAAGGCCTAAACCTTAGCTATTAGAAATCGCGACTTTGTGTTTGTGTAGCACTTACACTTGTATGGAGGATAGCAGCCTTTAACGGTTCTCCAATCCAGCGTTTGATGGCGCTCGCCGGAGGGAGTGATGCTCTGAAAAGACAGTGAGCTAATATGCAGTGACAAGAGTGAAAGTTACGTGATGTCGAGCGCGACGCCCAGCTGGTTATGATACTCGCAAAGTGTACGAAACATATGCCACCATTCCCACGAATCATTGAGCAAGCGGTTTGATATTGGATCCCTCTTCTGCCGAAAGCAATCAGATTGAGAACAAAGAAAACCCAACGTTACCAGATATGCAGCATCTTCAGTATCAGTTGCCTCTGCCTCCTCCATTTCCGGAGTTTGCAATGGCAATCTAAGCCATAGCTGAAACAAACCTCTTAGGATCCAAAACCATCCAGAAAGAGCAATCGCACACAAACCTGCATGTTCCCCAGGCCTTGGAGAACCTGATTGACGCAGCGCGCATAGTTTGCACAGCCAAATGCCTTTGGAGTTGGAAGTAAACACGCCTGGCAAGAGCGAATCAGTAGAAACCACATCCAAGTCTACAAACGAACACAAACCTGTACAGAGAGATGCCCAGCCCAGCTAAGCTCCTTCCTCAACACAAGCTCCGAATCCAGACGAGCAACGTCGTCATCACCATCCAATTCAATCCAGTCACTTACTCGTCCTAGAACAAGAAGTAAAATCCGATAACCATTTGGAAACGAAGCGCTACACTTACCAACGACATGGCTGCTCCACTGCGTCGAGCTAAACACCAGGTCCGATCCACAAAACGGTGGAACCAAGCCCGCATTCTTACTGGGCCTATACTCCGGATTAGTCTGCCAAGCACACAATAAGAACACAACCTAGAACACGAACTAAAACTTTGTGCTATAATCTCACCAGAGGAAGAACGATGAAGTCGAATCCAGCCGAGAGGCTAGACGATAGCGCCTCCTCGATGTCATCCGTGTGGCGTAGGATCTCACAGCCGGCGTAGCGGGACTCGCTGTTATCGCCGGCGCGCTGCCCCAGCGGCATCGCAATCCCCTCAAAAAACCCTAAACCCTCATGAGATTAGGGCAGATACCAGTTAAGAAAATGCGATGCCTCCTTGATTTAGTTTTAAAAAACGTAATTTATATATAAATCTAATTCTTACCTTTAACAAATACTCTTGGCGCGAAGCTTTTCAATCACTTCCGTCAACTTGGAGAGCTGCTTCGATCACTTCGTTCAGATTATCAGATTCTTAAGTCTGGAAACAAGCCCTAGCCACATCCGTGCGACCAGGCGACGATAGCGAGAGCGCTGACCGGGTCATCCGGGGAGCAGCCCTCGAGGAAAGATAAACAAGTCCCCGGGATATCAAACCTTCTCGAACAGCCTGTTGGCAGTCGTCACAAACCCAGCGTCGATGCGTCCCTGGAGACAATAGATGACCTCGGATGATCGGGGATGGACTGTTGTGATGTGAAAAGGGATGGACATAACACTCATGAGCTCGTTCATTGTGTTCCGACTCTTTTTACATGACTCAAGGGACATGACTCATGACCACGTGGACATGCCTCGAGACTGACATCTCGACACTCCCACTCTGGCTCGATCAGCTGAGAGGATGGACTACCCCTCCCACTCGGCCGAAACAGATGGAGAGCAGACTCCCAGTGCAGCGCGATGGCGTTCAAAGGAGTCTCGAGCCAAAGCCAGGAGAAAATCGTCACCACACTTGTACAGGTACACGTTTCCTTCCACTGCAAGAGGAACACACCCCAGGCTCTTGAAGAACGCATCAATGCGTTCATACCAAACCCTCGGGGAATGTTTAAGCCCATACAGGGCGCGATTCAGCTTGCAAACAAGATGTTCCTCACCAGGTTTGACGAATCCAGGTGGTTGCTTGACGTAGACCTCCTCGTTCAACTTGCCGTGCAGGAAAGCAGTGTGAACGTCCAACTGGTGCAGTTCCAGGTCATACTTGGCAGCCAGTGCAAGGATCACTCGCACAGAGGTCAACTTCACAACTGGTGAGTACGTCTCCATGTATTCCAAACCTGGAATCTGGCTGAATCCCCGTGCGACAAACCTGGCCTTGAACTTTGCTACAGTTCCATCAGGTTTGTACTTGACTGTGTAAATCCATTTCGAGCTCACAGGGTGAGCACCTTCAGGTAAGGTTGTCTTTGTCATTGTATTGTTTCGCTCATGCGAATGCATTTCAGCATTCATGGCTTCTCGCCACTGGGCAGCATGAGGTCCAGCTAATGCCTCGTCAACATTCGCTGGAATGGGGATTCGCTCTGGATTAGCAGCCACGAAGTTAGCCTGGTGCGTTCCTTTCTTTTAAATTTTTCCAAAACTAAAGAAGGGACGAGATTGCTCAGCTTCCAGTTGCAGCCTCGATGGTACGGGAACTGGAGCAGAGCGCCGTGGTTCAGGACGTGCTGGAGGGTGGATCACAGGTGGTGGAACAAGTGGAGAGTCTGGGAGAGCTCCCACTGAAGTTGGCGACCTGCTTCCATCTCCCACTGAAGGTGATGATCCACGTCCAGCTCCCACTGAAGTTGAGCCGAGGAAGAACTCAGGAGCAGCTTGAAATTCCTCGTCGCCCTCGAAGTAAGTGTTCATCAGCTCTTCAGAGAAGCTAGGTGTTCGCACTGGAGGAGATTCTTGCAAAGGCGTAGCTGGAGGGCGTGGTGGCAGTGCTGGAAGAACCACCAGGTTACCACCAGCAGGAGCAAGAGGCAGCAACGGGACTTGAGAAGGAGCTGTAGTCACGTGAACTGTGTCCACCAGCTGGAGTTCCACGAAAGTAGGAGCAGGAACTTCAGCGCGATCCTTGTACAGCTTGCTCTCATCAAAGAGCACATCCCGTCTTTCCAGCAAAGTCTTGCGCTTGAGAGAATAAAGGCGATATCCTTTCATGCCTTCCAAATATCCCAGGAAAATGGATGGCTCAGCCTTTGACTCCAGCTTTCGGCGTTGCTTGTGTGGAACGTGTGCATAGGCGAAACAGCCAAAAAATGCGGAGATGATCGTAACCAGGTGCGTGACCAGTCCAACGCTCATAAGGAGTGGTCTTCCCAGGCAGGGCACGTGTTGGCAACCGGTTTCGAACATAAACAGCCGTGTTCACTGCCTCTCCCCAGAAAGCAGCCGGCATTCCCGCGTGAAGCAGCATACAGCGTGCAGCTTCTATGATGGTGCGATTCACCCTCTCGGCACCACCATTCTGGGCATGTGCATCAGGGACAGCATACTGGCGCTGGATCCCAGCTTCAGCACAAAACGTCTCGAATTCTCCTCCACGATCGCAGCGGAGCACACGAACTAAACAGCCGTGTAGCTTTTCTACCAAAGCCTTGTATTGGCTGAAACAGGAGAACACTTCTGACTTATGAGCCAGCAGGTACACGATCAGCTACCGCGTGTAATCATCCAGGAAGGTGACTACGTAACGTTTGCCTCCCAAAGATTCAACCATAATCGAACAAACGTCCGAGTGTACCAACTCAAGAACAGAACTTGCTCGAGAATGAGAAATCTGTGGAAAAGGAAAAACGTGGTGTTTTCCACCAACACAAGCTTCGCAGAAGGGCAGCGCGCTCCCAGGCGCCACAGGAACATCCACCTTTTTGAGCTGTTGCTCGTTCACGTGACCAAGGCGCTGGTGCCAGGTTGCAAGTGTCACAGGTGGAAGGATCACGTGAGCATCCAGGCGGTAGAGCGTATCAACTGGAACTCCAAAAGCGACCTTGTCTCCAGTCTCGGCATCCAGCACGAACGCTCCCTGTGCTGTGAACAGAGTATCGAAGCCTACTTGAGCAGCAGTTCCAATCGACAGCAGCGTGTGTGTGAGTCCCGGAACATAAGACACAGGATAGATCTCCCGGATTTCTCCAGAAGAGAGCTTAGCCCTGATTGTTCCTTTGCCTAACACGTCGTGAGCAGAGGAGTCACCGAGTCCCACGGCATCACTCTCACACGGTTCTTGGTAGTCAAAGAACAAGGAAGCCATGGGCGTCATATGGAATGACGCTCCAGAATCCAGCCACAGCTCTGGTCCGAGCACGGGCTGGTGGCTGCTGCTTGCAGAGCGAGCCATCAAGAGCTTACGAGGAGTCCCAGAGCCCTTGTCTTTGTTTCCTTTGTCTTTGTTCTTGGCAGCTTTAGCACGATGAGCTTTCTTCTTCTTGCAATCCCTCGCCAAGTGTCCAGGTTTGTGGCAGTAGTGACAAATGCCACGAAAACCAGTGTCGTTGGGCTGAGCTTGAGAGGACGAGGATGATCCTCTCGCAGCGCCAGCATAAAGCAAGGAAGATTTGGCAGAGGGCATCGCTTCTTTCTTCCCCTTCATCTTGCGTTCCTCTTCAATTACGGCACCCACGACTTGATCAAAGTTCATGGCCATGTGAGATAGAACAGATGCGAGCGTGCTAAACGCAGGCGTGACGGTTACAAGCAGCAACGCCCTGGCGCGATCAGGAGACCCAGCACCAGTCAATTCAGCCATTAGCCCTCGAATCCGTCCCACGTACACAGCAATGGTTTCACCCGTTTCCATGTGAAGCGCCAAGAATTGTTGATTCAGCAACATGGAAGAATTTGCGGCTTGGGCCACGAAGATCGTGCGAAGTCCCATCAACGATGTTCCACGCTCGTTTCGCAGAGAGGATCAGCCTGATTCTTGTCGCCCATGTGAAGAAATTCGTGCCACTGAATTTCTCCACAGAGCTTCCATCGCCGCCAATATAATAGGGCAGGGTTACTATGTAAAATATCGATTTAGAAGATCGTGAGAGACGACCGGTGGCGGCGGCGGCGGCGGCAGCAGCGGCGGTGGTGCGGCGGAGGTGGTGGTGGGGTTGAAGCGGCCATGACAGCAACGTCAAATCAAATCCGATACCATGTTGTGATGTGAAAAGGGATGGACATAACACTCATGAGCTCGTTCATTGTGTTCCGACTCTTTTTACATGACTCAAGGAACATGACTCATGACCACGTGGACACCACGTCAGCTGATCGACGACATGGACGTGGGGAGGATTCACTCCCAATGGACCCTTGCGTGTTGAGGCCTGGGAACCTTGTGATGTCGATCAGCTGGACCCTGATGTGAGAATGTTGGTGGATTAGGCCAAAACCCTAATTCCAGGATCACATTGCTCTATCAAAATATTGATTGCTCGACTAAAATCTGGAATGGCGCAAGAGAGAAATCACTCCAGAAATCTACTAGAATGCTCCATCCATGCTTGTATTGGAGAGGCCTGAAAAACTATAGTTCAATCTGCCGGAATTGGACCGGCGACCAAAGAGCTTTATTGAGATTTTTGCAAGCATTTTGTACTTGGACCTTTTGTCCAGAATCAAGTCCGACTCACTCCACGTCGTAACTCATCAATCTCATTTTCGTCAACCTGCAAAGTTGCCTCCAGAACTTCGTTCATGATGGCTGGAGTGGTCTGGAACAATGCTCTAGCAATGTCTGTTCTTCCTGGGTTTTGACTTCCAAGCGCAGCCACCGCAACTGTGTCCGACTTATCCAGGTTTCGCTGGAAGTGAACTAGTCCCCTGGGAAAGATGAACAGATCACCGGGATATAAAACCTTTGCAAACAACCGGTTGGAAGTTGACACAAATCCAACATAGAGGCGTCCTTGGAGGAGCCAGATGACCTCGGACGCTCGGGGATGGCTGTGCGGAGGATTCACGCCAAATGGACCGAATGCAAGGCGAGCAATGGAGAGTCCCTGCGTGTTGAGGCCTGGAAACAGTCTGATATCGATCAAGTCGGCTTGGATTCGCAGTGTGTTGTTTATGACTGGAGCCTGACGAAGGATTGTGGAGGTGAAGTCATCGGCAGTGACTGTGGTGGGATCTTTGCAAGGAACTCCGTTGATGAACACATTGGAGTTTGGATCTTCAACGCAGAAATCCTGGAGAGGATCCTCATCGCCCAACACTCCAATAATAGTTAAGCACAGAAAGAATGACACCGTGACAATTTTGATGAGAGCCATTGGTATAGAACACTTGAAATTGTGAAAACTCAAGACGAAACTACTT